GGCACTACGAGACAAAACATCAGGACAAGCTGAAAAACGTGAATGCAGAGCAGAAGCTACAGAAGGTAGAGGAGTTGAAGAGGAATCTGACATCACAGCAGACGTTTTCACCAAAGTGAAATCAAACAGTGAAGCTGCTGTGAAAGCAAGTTTTATTGGGGCGGAGGAGAAAATGAGCCCGGACATTTACCGAGGGAGAGTTTCTGAAGAGCTGCATGATGAAAGTGTGAGACGTCTGGTGTCCAGACAAAAAGCAGGTGTTTGCTAATGTGAGCCTTAGCAGAAATACGGTTGCTGATTTTAAGTTCAAGTTTATTTTGGAATAATATTGTATCCTGTCTGTTTCGATTCATATTTATGTTAAAAAAACATTTAGTTTTAGTCTGTTCAATAAATCTTTATCCTGTTCGGCTTGTGACCTATAGTGTGCTTTGAGTTTTGGCCCCCTGTGCGATTGAGTTTGACACCCCTGGACTAGAAGATGGTGACTGTAGGAAATTGAATAGAACAATAATCATTATTTGAAGCCCTAGTCAGGTTGCATGATGCTGTAGGTCTGGTCGGCCTTCAGTTTTAATGTGTGGCAATTTGATGCAGTTTAAAACACCATAAATGTGTCATAATAAATATTTATAGCGTTAAACGAGCTGTCTAATTCCTTGCATGAAGCCTGGTTGGACCTAAACTGTGTCATTTACAATCGCCATAGCACACACTCTTAATGTCCTTTCAAGGCTTTTTCAGCAACATCTCTCTCTCTCTCTCTCTCTCTCTCTCTGTCGCTGCGTCTCTCTTCAGGCTGCAACATGGGTGAAGGCTCAGACCTACCAGGGGATCTACGCCTCGTGGGCTGTGCTGTTGCTCCTGGTTTTTGTCACCCTGGCTCGGGCCTTCTACTGGGCCTGCATGAGGGTCAGCCAGCCTCTCCAGAGCTTCACATAGAGCCTTCCTCCAACTTTGAGAGGAGGGGGGAAAGATGGCTTAAAAACACAAAAAAGCTGAATATTTATTTAAACCCAGCTCCACAAAAAAACATTCTCCTCCTCCTCCTGTTTCCCTCCCGTTTAGTCAGATGTTTCTACAACTGGATGGCGGTAGCTGCGACTGCTGTGTATCTATCGGTAATTATGATGATGCGTATAGCCTAACGTACTGTTTAACTATTCTAATCTTGTGGCCAGTATGGGGTTCATTTTAACATTTTTTTAACACTTTTTCTTCTTCTCTTCCCCCGGTGCCATTTCTAAATTTTGGCTTGAGTCTGAGGCACATCTGCACTTCTACGATGAGGGCTGAAAGTGAAGTCTTAGATGTGATTATCTTTCTTGTTTTTTGTTGGGGAGCTCTCCCTTTCCAGATCCTAGTTTGACATTAGGCTTCATATTCCAGCATTTAATATTTTTGAAACAAATTATTCTGTGAAAGCGGTGATGAAGTCAGATGACGCTAACAAATCAATGCCAGTAGAAGAAGAGTGGCTGGAGGGACAGCAGCCTCCGTTTGTGAATCAAAAGATAAAGTAGGTTTTGACACATGTCTGAAAAATTGAATTCAGCAGCATGTGAAGGTAGCTATGATGTGTCTGAACTCAGTTTATGCTGAATTATCCCCTGGGACTGACTTTGATCCAAAGCAGCTTGAAAGCCTTAAAAGGAGGAGTGATAGAATGATTCAACACAAACGCATGAATGTGCACGGCACACAACAAAAGAACGGCGCTCTTTTGGAGTCGCAGCAGCTCAGAAGCCAGTTTGCCCCAGCCTCTCTCTTCAAAGACAGACGGCTGAACAGATTCTCTCCAGACAGCTCTCCAAGTATCACTGACATGCATAGCACTTTGTGCGAAAGTTGGATATTTAGTTCTGGTTCTATAAAAGTGTAACCGCATTTACATTTCCTCCAAACTATAGCGAACAAGGTTTTGTTCTTTTCATTAGTAGCTTCCCTAAAGGCAAGCTTCTATCTTGAATCAACATCATAAACAGCAAAACAGTGGCATAGGTCTTACACTGATTTCCAAGAGACAGGTTTACCCTATTACATATCTTTACATGGCTTGACCTCACTTCATTCTGTCCTGCCTGGCTTTCCGAAAATGAGCAAAGCAATAAACAAAACGCGAAGAGCTATTGGCTTTTTGACATCGATATCTGCCTGCTCATATCCACAAAGTCCTCAGAGGAGAGGTTTAGATTTTCTTGCTGTTATTCAAACTGCATTTGTCTTGGAGAAAGACACGAGCAGAATTTTAAGGCCTGTCGCTATATTTTGCTAGCAGAGGTTGAATATATGTACTTCAGGCTTTTATTGCTCATAATGGTGACTCTAAAGTTTCAGGATATACCTCTAAATGCATCAGATCTTCAGTAAGATACTGTGATTGGTTTGAAACCACCATAGTGCTATGTCAGGGTTTTAAATGCGTTAGGAGCGATTTATGGTGAAAGTGTGTTTAGCGTTTGTCAGTGAAGATGGAGACAGGACTTGAGCTTTCTCATTGGTTGGTTCCAGATGGAGCTTTTACTTTTAAGGCCAGTGAAATAAAGAAGTAAACTGTTGCCAGTGAGAATAGGTCAGTAACATAAACACATACACACACTATGTGTTACATTCTCACTCACCTCCCATAATGATGTTTCTGTCTGTGGTTCTGATTGTGGTAGCATTTATTTTGTTATAAATTGTTTTTGTTTGTAAATGTATATATATTGTTTATTTATAGTGGGATTATGTTGCACTCCGAGCCTAACACTGCTACTGTGATCACTGCGGACCTTTTGTTGTTTTTAAGGAGGTTATTTTTGCTGCTCCGCACCTGTTACATATTTAATGATTTGATGAACCACTTACCTTATAATAAGCCTCTGGACGCCTGGTCGTGTCCAAGTCTTTCAACACGAACAAAACACTATGACCAAATCACATCCCAAGTGATGACATTTCTATCTCAAACACTAACAGCCAACATCTTATACAGTACAGAAAACACTGCATACACCAAGTAGGAGTGAGATTGTTAGACTGCAGGACTGAACTGAGGTCGCACACAGTTTACACAGAAGTGTCATGCTATTTATGAAACTGTACATGCTGCAAAAAAAGGGCCAGTGTAAAAATGAAGTCTTAAAATCTTGCTTCTTTAGGAAAAAGTCTTATGAAGTGGGATTATTTCACTTTTTTTTTGGTGTGTGTGTGTGTAATCGATACAGTTACCTGTCAGTTTCAAGTCATAGTCTGAATTCATTTTTAAGACTGTTGGAACCAAGTTTAAAAAAAGCTGATCGGACACTTGAGATGAAAATGGCCTTTTTTTTCCAGTGTAGTGATCATGTTTTATTTGACTGCAAAACAGATCAATCATGTTAATGCCAATAATCAAGAATCTGGCTGATGCTCTTTTCAGAGTTTGTTTACACACAAATAAAGACATGATGATGTATAAAACCAGTGGTGTGGGTTCCTCTCCTTCATCAGCATATAGGACCTAATGGATCCAGGCCCAGTGTTGAGGCCTACAGTGGGGCTAATCCTAAATATTAATGTTACAGAACCTGTCGTTTGATGATGAAACGTTTCGTGAAGGTCAAGCTGTTGCATCATGAATATTTAGGGGGTTGCAACATTCAGAGTGCAGTGCCTGGTTTCCCTTCACTTTGTATGCTGCTTTGTCCAGCACCTGTCCAGTCCACACTGAGACTGGACATGTACACCCGACATGTTCTGTGTAGTCTAGCCCCACAGCCCCATCAGACGAGTTCTAGTACTTCTCGATTAACACTGCCGTCATGTTCACGGTATGTTTTTTTTTAATGGATGTTCTCTAACACTATTGATTTAGTTGAAATGCCAGTGTTCGGTCAGTTTCTCATTTCAGTTTTTATTTGTACAGCCCAGTAACACAAATGTGCCCCGGTAAGGACCCTCACCACCACCAGAGGAGGGTTCCTTCTACCAGGACAGACGTGCCTTTAGTGGAAAACATGTAAAAGGAATAAAAACTGGTCACGAGGACACATTGAAGAGTTTTTAGACAAACATCCTTCATTTATATGTGCTCTCAGACAAAGCTGTCTGTTAAATGTAAGTATAGATGGGGATATTTTTATTTTAATCAAATCATAATGTTTGTTTCTAATGAGTTGAATTACCCTACAATCTTTCCATGCACCCACCAACTGTCCCTGGGGTTTGTGGCACAACTTTCGTCTGTAATGGTTTTCAGATGTAGTTGCTAATTTTAAAATTACACCTATAACTGTCTCTACAGAGTAGGTTTGGCGATAATGTAACTGAAACCTATAATTAAAGCTGTCATGCACTCTCTTAACTAGGATAATTCCTAGTTATTAAAATGAGTGAAATCAAACCATTCCTCTTTGAACCTGAAACACTCCAGTTTTAGAACCACTCATTTAAACCTTTGTGCTGTTCATTAAAGAGCAGCTTTTTTTTTTATTATTCCAACAAAATGCTGGAAAGCAGCTCATCTTTTTCCTCACACAACCTGGCCCCTGTCTGCCTCTTCAGTTTCATGCGGATATATTTTTTGCCAGGACAGAAAGAGATGGAGGGATTAAGGACACTGAGAAACCTTTCAGGAACCACAACTCTCTGGAGGGTAGCATCAACCAGGGAGGCTGGGAGACCAGAAAGTGGAAGGGGAACGGGGAAAAACACGACTGGCTTCCATAACCAGTGGTGGAAGAAGTACTCAGATCCCTTATTTAAGTACAGCAATAGAAAAAAAATATAACATATGAAATATCAAGTATAAAGTACAGTACTTGAGTAGATGTACTTACTTTACAGCACTGCCCATAACCTTCTGGTTTTAAGTGAAAGGACATGAGCCTGCTTTCATTCTGTAACACAACACACATGTGGACACACTCAAACTGCTTCAGTTTCATTTTATTGACTTTGTTTATCTTTTATGGTGTTATACTCCTTCCCCTACTCAGGGGTGAGTGCTATCTCAGCGCTCCACTTTTGTTCTGTCTGCCATCTTCACCAATTTCCCTGGTGCGATACTTCAGTGACAATCCAGCTGATGTGGGACTTGTAAAATGGAATAAGGCAAGAAGGAGGAAGAAAATCTCTGTAAATCTTTGTCTTCTTATCCTTCTTATCTCTTTTTTTGCATCATGCCAGTCACAGCTATATTCATTTCCTCTTGTAACATGAGATTTTTATTATTGTAATTGATGCTTTTTGCACTTCACTTCACAGCTGTGAAACCATTTGCCAGCTGCCATTTGGCTAATCCAGTCATTAAGAAAAATATTCTTTGTAATGAAAATAATATTTCTAACTGTGATTTGAGTCGCTGAAAATGCAGCAATAATATAAATCCCCTGTGTTACTGCTAATTGCTTTTGCATCATCCATGTTTCACAAAGCTGCTTTTATTTTGGATGCTAAGTGATTTTTAGGCCAAAGAGAATTTGCTATTAGGAGAAACTGCAGCTTAAAAATCAGAGTACATAACAAAATATCAGGTTAAAATTATAATATACATTTTATAACATTAAGAATATTTTTCTTTTTTTTACTAATACCTCAAGCTTTTATGTAATAGTTTGTTTTTCCTTTCCCTATACATCAGTGTATTTCTTTAAATATATAATATGATCATATCATCATACAGTGAGTAGTCCATGTGTGGGTCGTCCGTGAATTGTTGTCATATGTTGACGACACCGGTGATTTGAATAAAAGTGTGACTGAACTGTAATGAAGTGTGATCGTGATACAGGTCGGTAAACTTTACTGTTTAATTTTCTGAAATCTCTAGGTTAATGCAACTATAATTAGTTACATGCATAATATTACTTTATTAAGTGTCCTGCTTTGAATGTTTGTAAGGCACCTGGAGATACAAATATAAACCAGGCTGTATGTTATAATGCAGCCCAATAAAAGCGGAAAGAGTTTGCACTATGTTAACATCTTTATTAGAAACTGTATAACAATATTTATGTCCACAATAGATCCTCCTCATGAGCCGGCTGCACCAGCTGTTCATAAATTTGTTTGGTTTTGCTGTAGGCATTTACTAGGTGGAGGTTTAAACATGACTAAATTAAAATAAATCGCACTACATAAATTATAGCGATTAACCAAAGTTTTTATCCCCAGTAATTGTTAGGTGTAACTTGGTAATTGAACAAAGCTAACGTTAGCTTGCTAACACTGTATATGACCTGTTTAGAGGTAACAGTAAGAGAGATGAATACACTGTACCGTTTAGATTTATCCTAATTACGTCAATCCAGTTCTTATTCTATTCTGTTTTTATTCTACTTTATTCTATTTTAGTTCCTAAATGTTATGGCACCCAATAGTAGGTGAGAGAGAAACGGTATTTCGATTTTCTGTATGTCCTGCACATATGGTGAATTGACAATAAAATCCTTGAACCTAATTTTACAAACTAACACAACATAAGCCTATCTCAAATTATGAAACATTAAGCCAGTAGCATCTGGCTAAATGAGTGCTTAAATAACATCAGTTGAGCTAGTAGAATTGTACAGTTCCTGCTCTAAACTGTATGAACTCTAATTCCTCCATGTAGACATAAGTAAAATAAAAATAATAGCTATTTACAAAGTACATAAAGTCTTTTCCACCTCTAACACCTACATTTTTGGAAGTGCCATGCTAGCTCGTGATGCTAGTGCCTTCCTTTTTACATTGTTCATTGTGCTTCATTAGACAACACTTCGGAGTTTTTCTACCAGCTGATTTACAAATTACTAGTCTTTACCAAGACATTTCTTAATTTTATAGGTGCAACCTGTTTTAGTCACCAGTTTGAAACTAGCTGTAATTACTAAAAAGGAAAGACTTGAAGCTCAAACTTAGTAATGAGCGTAGGTGCAACCCAGCCCAAATCTTCAGCCTTATTTGTTTGGTCTTGTGATTGTTATGTTGTACGAAAGTCTCCATTTCTGTAGTTATCCAGTAAATTGCTTATAATATGCCAAAATGCACTTGAGGCTACCCAAAAGTGGACCAGTCAATACAAACTCATGTTTTTTCTTCCAACCACTATTCAAACCTTCAAGAGTTTATCTGAAATTATAGTAGACAGTCTAACATTTCCAAAGATACCGAAAATGCTATGCTAGGAAACTGGCAAAAAAAATCATGTTAGATACAGCAAAAATTTCTGGCAGAAAATAATGTTAGAACATTTATATTTGAACATGGAAGGGTGAAGCCATAAAAAAGACAAAGTCTGGGGACTGAAAATGTCATTCAGTGTGAACACTGCAAAACTTTGATAAAAAAAGCTGAAACGAGCTTACTCAGCAAGATATTGCCTGACAGGATGGAATAAAATGATTTTAACCCCAAGGGGAAACAAAGGGTGGGTGGACTGTAGGCTGCAGTCTTGTTCTCTTGGCGATTCTTAAATCTCACCTGCACAAGTTGTCATTATCTTCTCTTTATGTTTAACCGAGCTCAACCAAACCAAGCTAAGCAGTTTTAAGCACATGCTCACAGAGCTCCTCTTGCACAGTGTTAGTGAATGTTGCAGCAGTAAAAAAAAAAGGCAGTGCTTTGCTAAAACCTTGATCCCTCTTACTTCTAACAGGATTTGACCCTTAAGACCCGGAGCATGGCCCTCATCTGCTGCAATACCATCATCCTGTTTAACGTACACTCTCAGTATTGTCCTCCCCTTTTGCACACGTACATTTAGAGGGCCTTAAACCAGTATCTTCCCACATACATTCCCACTGTGCTGTATGATGTAACACTGCTTAATTTTACGCATAACACACAACCTGATGGATCCAGCTAAAAATAAATAGCACACAACTGCTCCTGGCGCTACAAAGAAAGAAGAGCAATATAAGAAGATGACAAGGGATGGAGAGGTGGTGGTGGAGGGTGGGTTGACTCGCTGTCAGAGGATGATATGATTGAGTGAGTGAGACAGTGGGAAAGGCAGGGAGGATGACAGGATGCAAGGAGACGGAGAGGGGAGACTGAGCAAGCAGCTAAGCACCAGATTAAACTCTGGGGTCATCAGCTGTAAAACAAACAGTGCTTTTAGTGGGGATCAAATCCAGACTTAAACCCTCATCCTCACACACAAGCACATATACAGTTTGCCACAGAGAAGATAATGCCACTCACCAAAGGAGGGAAGAAAAACAGGGATGACGATTCTGGTAGAAAACGAATTCTCTTCTCAGGGCCTGTTTTTGTGTGCCGCTATCTAAATTGCCCCTCAGGGGATGCGAAGTCTTATTATATTTGGGTTTTTTTTTTTCCTGCACAGCTTCTGCTGGTGACAGACTGGGCTAATATATGTGGCTTAGAAATACTGGAGAGTAAATAAAGCTGAGGAGAGGGTTTTCTTTTCACATTTCTGTGTTTATATTACATCTTTACAGTAATGTTCCCCTGACAACGCTGCTGCTCGCCTCACTATGCAGCCTGTTTGTGTAAATCTCTCTGTCTATCATCTGGGTCTGCGTGGTTCCATCAGTCCGAACACTCCATTTTCAAACTGTCAGCTTATACACTCGTTGTGAGTCCTTTTTCTTTGGTGCAAATTTTTGTGTGTACAAAGATGTGTTTGTGTAAATCCATGAGCAGCAGCAGCAGCATTATTTATTCTGACTTCTTGTACCAATATCTTTATAAGGACCAATGTGTTATGTAAAGTGTTCTTGAAGTAAATGAGCTAAAACTTGCAAAATCACTGCTCTGCTCTGTTACAGTATTGCAGTTAGAAGCTGGAAGGGTCCTCACAAGTGCACAAGTGCAAATAAATGTGTATATGTGTGTTTGATTTCAGGCTTTTTGCATGTGAACCAAAGTCCCTGGGCAGCTAAAAGCGCAACATTTAACTCAATTAGGGGCATGCATAATTGATAGCTGTCTGGGAGAGTATTTGTATTTACACTGGAATTAAAAGCCTCCGGTGTATCATATCGTGTGTGTGTGTGTGTGTGTGTGTGTGTGGGTGTGTGTGTGTGTGTGTGTGTGAACTAGGAACGTATAGGGATGCATGTGTATCAAAAGCCTGAATACTTCAAGGAGCTTCTCCTTCTGTCTGTGTTTCTGCTGCAGATAAAAGTAAATCACTGCTAATCCACCTACAAACACAGCACTTTGTCTGTGTTAAAGGTAGAATTAACTTGTAACCCCATTCTCACTGAAATCACTGTAAAACAATATTAGACTCCCTGTACTATGCAGTTCCTATTCGTACCTGTTTTCTGATTAAGGCTGATTATGATACTGTTAGGCTGTTGTTCCACTTGTTTGTTAACAATACCAAAACTTTGTTATGAGAAATACAGACACACGTTTCTACAAAACCCTTCATTTACCCAAAGAAATCACAGATCTCAAATGTTATGGGAATCATCGGAGGATTTGCACTAATTTTCTTTCTTGCTGAGAGTCAGATGAGAAGATTAATACCACTCTCAGGTGTACAGAAACATATAGCTGCCACCCAGAGCCTGATTATCTTGGCTTAGCATGAAGAACTGGTTCTGTCCAGTCAACACTGGGAGTTCTCAGTGAGACTCAGGAAAGTTACTGGCCAAGAAATAGTCCTGTACGTAACCCCCAGTGTCATTTTGACATACACAATATGTTAAGTAATGAGTCTAAGAGGCAGTGATACTGTTTAAGTGAATTTTATTTTGTTTTGCCAGAGTGAAGCTGTTTCTGCCTGCTTCCAGTCTTTGTGCTACGCTAAGCTAATCCACTGCTATAACTCTATAAACATGACAAAATATCAGACTATTGCTAAAAGTGTTATTTAAGCAGCCTAAATAAAATTGTATAAAATGCATTTCAATGATGAACTTTCTAATGAAAGATGAAATAAACATCATGCATATTACCAGAAAGTCAGTTTTTCATTTCTTTAATTTCCTCTTAACAAATGTAATAAACTACTTTTACCATCTTCTAAATTACTGAAGAAGCTATTCCATATAAATTTGCAGTATATTGAATTTAAACCATTATTTAAACTCCATTTTGAGCTCATCGTTGCCATTTTACAGTTTGGTAATGTTCATTCTAGTGTTGTAGACTGTAGGAATTCACCCTCAGTCAGACAGGAGTACTTGAGGGGAAGCCAGCAGGACATCAGCTTGAGCAAAATAGCGTCTCCACTGCCGCCACCTCTAACAGCCTCCTGAGCCTGTGCGGCAGAGTATTGAAGAGCCTGTTAACCTTGGCCAAAGTCATTCCTGTCAAGTGAAAAGCAGCTGTAGTGGAGCAGTGTGTGTCTCTCCTGGTATTGAGTTCATCACCTATTTGATTCAGCGAGGAGAAAACCTCCAGTCACCTTCAGTCAGTTCAATCATATCTTCCTCCTTGGCTCGTTCTAAAATGCTCCAATCCTGATGTGGATGAAAAGTATCTTTGCCCATTTCCTCACAGTTTATCTCTTGTCTTCTTCCTTGTTTTTCTCCTCAGGTCTAACCCTTTACACGCTCACTTATAACGATCTGAGCGGATTTTACTGTTGCCCTTTAGCAGCAGCTGACCTAGACACACAGCTTACACACAGCGCTGCTAATAAAGTTTATAAATGAATCTTTCAACTGTTTTCACTTGTTTCATCAATAAGGTTAAAAATGATGTAATTAAATTGCAGGTATTATCCAATCCAACAAATATGCATTTGCAAATAAAGCATAAAATACTTTCTGCTTGATTATTGATCAATAGAGCTGAGGTGATTACTTGATTAATCAATTAACAAATTAATTAAAAATCAATTAGTAACTGTTTTAAAATACAAAAAAAAGATTCTCTGACTTTTTTGTAATTTGTGCTTATAAACTGAAAATGTAGTATAATGGGCTTTTTAAAACTCCATTTGAACATTTTATACAAAAAACTGATTGGTTAATCAGGAGAATAAACACAAA